CATAATCGTGAGCTATTTGGCTTACGCAATGTATCTGAGACTTTTCAACATTTTATAGATGAAGTCACATGAGATCTAGAAGATGGTTATGCTTTTGTCGATGACTTGCTAACCAACAAGCTTAACCAACCTACTTACTTTCGAGAGTACGTGGAGTTCTGAGAATGACCGAGCAGTCAGGAGCTGTACTCTGGTGCTTTGCAGTGAAGCTGTCTCCACCACGATAGCTTGATAACCTGAAAGCTGTGTCACTGATCATGTCAGCGTGTTTATAACAGTTCGATGACTGTAAATGAGATTTTGAAGCTGTCCTGATTAATACCGGCCAATAAAGTGTGTTTCGATACTTCATCAGGTAGTATTGTCATTATTCACTCCAAATCCTCATGAACCCCATACGAACTGGTGTCAGAAAAGAAAAAACGCAACAATATGTAGAGATTACATCTGATTAAAGTTCTTGATGAATGATGAATGTAGTGAAATATTTGTTGTGATAAGGACAATGAAGATCAGCCAGATGTACAATGGTTTCTACACTTCAGGCACCAACTACTAGCAAAGATTGGCATTAATTGTATATAGAATAAATCACAAGGTATAATTGGTTCACAATACCAATTACAGATGGTGCTACGAGATATGTAGGTCAAAATAAACCAGTAGTGGAAATAAAACAACCACCGCTGTAGACTTAAACATGTAAAAAATGGAGGAAACAATGTCTTAACTTTTAGTGCATGAGTATGAATTTCCTATTAAGCGCCTCTTAGTTGAATCACTCTTACAGTATGTGATTCAGCATCCAACCTGCTGATGAATCATATCACGTCCTTGATTAAAGCAGGTTCCTTGGTTTTTTAAACCCATTTTAAATTATTTATGGGGACAATACATAATTAATTGTACTGCATTAATGGTTTGGTTCTAAAAATTCAAAATAAATCATGCTTTCCATATCCTATCACATGCATAGCATAATCTGCTTTGGATGCAATCTTTTTTTTCCCCCCTCTGTTCTTAACCACTGTTCTTTCTGAGTAGGATTAGCATATAAAATTCTTTTTTTCAAAATGTAGTTGCAGAGAAAAAAAGGCTGTAGCCCCTGTGCACAGAGAAGTGTAAAGTATGCTTTGTTGATGGCTTTTAACTGTGAGTTCATGTGGAACAATAACACTAGCATGAGAAAACTTTCCTATTTAAATGGTTTATTGCTACTCACTAACTATCCTAATAAAAAGACTCTGAAAGAAATTTTATCCAGAAATACATTTAAATCACCAGTAGAAGGTGTAAATGCTTCATGATGCATATTTCTTGTTCTTGAATCTGGCAACCACAGTAGAATGCATATTGAATTGAATAAACTTGAAGCTTGAAATCTGTTCTTTGCTAGTTGATTTTGCTGTGGTTCGAATTGAATAATGTTTCTTGAACCACGATAACATGAAACCTTTTACGTTCTAACGATTATATTAGACTCTTCATGATTTCTTTCTTGGTAAGACATAAATTTTACTTTGTCAGTATCTCCTAATTCATCATTTCCTGCCAACATAAAACCTCTTAGGTTATATTAATTATATTAGACTCTCCATGATTTCTTTCTTGGTAATACATGAATTTGACTCTGTCAGTATCTCCTAATTCATCATTTCCCGCCTTTCTATGTATGCAACTGCTAGATTCTAACAAAATATTAAAATTTCCACTTCAGAGCTTTTTTGACATTCTTTCACATTGGCATTCACTGACAGCATCTGCCTATGCTAAATAATTTTGATAATTTAGCATAGGCAGATAATTTTGACCATAGATTCACAATAATATTCTTCTATGTATTCAAATTTTGGTAAACCCAAATCCTGCATTAGTTTCTGATCCAACTTAATATTAAAGTTGTTTCTTCTGGATTTTACTCATATAAGTTTCTCCTACTAAACTACTCACTTTTTTCATTTTTACTAGGACAAATTTTTCCTTGCTGACTTTGTTTACTGTAATTTCCGGAAGAAACGCCGCGGCGTTTACGTGTTTAAAACTTAAATTTTCAGCAGGTGCGGCGTTTCTACCCATGCGGCGTTTAGGTGCACTAAAAATAAAATATTTCCTATGATGGTCATTGTACATAGTTTGGATGGCCTTGTCATTGTGCATAGATTGGTGCTGTTCCCACACAAAAGACCACTCAGTTGCTTTTGCGAACGTTATTTTGTTTACGTTCTTTCCCTTGAACGGACCTACATGCCTTATTCACCCTAAACGAGATCTCAGAACAATAACATTCTTCCCCCTTTCAAATCAACATTTTCATCAGTTTGAATAGTCTCTCTCCTCTGCCATTCGATGAATCTTCCAGGACCCATCCTCTTTCCACCCCAGCCTTTTCTGCAATTTTTTTCAAAGGCGGACATGACTCCACCTGCCTCGTTATAACGAACTCTGACGTATTTCCCCTTCAGCATGAATGGATTTTTCTTGGCATTCTGCCAAATACAGATCTCATCAGTTAGGGTACAAGTACTTGTTGAATAGTTTTTAATTAGGGAGCGGAAAATTTTTGAAAATGTCTCTAAACGGCACAGAAGCTATACATTTCTTACCTTTAATTTAATTCTTGAGATATGGTTTCATTTCATACATTTTTCTTAACTGGTATGTCATATATCAGGACTTAGGTTGAGTTTTTGCATCTATACGGCCCACGACGATGTCAAGCGCAATTTAATCTACTGCGGCATTTACGCTGATGCGGGTTTCTGTGTAATTTTAATTTTTTTCCCGCCATTTTTCTCGAGTGCGGCGTTTACGCTGATGCGGCCTTTCTTCCGGAAATTACGGTACTTCAATTTCCTAAAGCCTACTTACTTTCAGAGAGTTCTAAATAATGCAGTGTTCTTCTAAGGATTTCCAAAATTTCTGGTTACTTATCCTTTCATTTTAATCATCACACTACATAAAAAATAGCTTAATGTTTCAGTAAGTTCACAAACTCTGCTCTGACCCATGTACCAATGATTTATTCTAGCCTATTGCTTCCCATCATCTTCAAATTACAGAATTAGAACAGGAAGCCATGATCTCTACAGCCCTTTGATTCCTGCAATTGAAATCCTTTGATTTCAAATTGAATAGATTTAATATCCAGAATAATTTGAACTGTATGGGTCAGAGATATAGGGAAAAAAAAAAAAAAAAAAAAGAGCCCTAAATGATAGGGTTATAAAGTTTAACAGGGAATTTTACTAAGAAGTATTTTGCCACAATTCTACAGAAAATAGCTCTGTAATACTCTGAAATCGGAGTTCAAAATGCTGCTATATTTCTTCCAAGATACACTCATCTTTCTGCATGTTTTTCAGAACTAACTCAGTTTCTCAGATCACTTAATATGTAGATTTTAATACAGTTCAGCTTCTTTTTGAGGTTTGGGGAAAGGGAACAGAACTTACATCTATCTATATCCAAACTGTATACAGGATGTAAATGAATTTTGATATTTCTTATAACCAAGAAATTAATCAGTTTAAGTGTTAAATGGAAAAGCATCATAGATGAGAAATTTTAACCATTTTTCTGAAAACATTGGCCTAACCTTCAAACAATTAATATAGACTGTCAGTATAAACAAACTGTAAAATATAGACATTGAAAATCATTTACATAGAGTGTTACGTAGGGTAAGAAATACATTTTTATACATAAATACATAAACCATTTCTTAGTAATCAAAGCAAATGATGACTATAATTTTCTCAATCAGATTTTCATTTGCTTTTCCCACTCCAGTATTAAGATCTAGGAGAAGTAGAGTTTCAACACAGTATATCGTTTTTTTGAATGAAAAAACTTTATGGGAATTTATGAAAAATAACTTAATTAATGAATTAATGAATACTATTATCAAATTCCTAAGGAGAAATTAAGCTGGATCTTTATCAATTCCTTCTTACGATACAGTGAAGGATGAAAGGGTGATCTGTTATCTGCTTTTAGACTGGTGTTTTGGTGATTAAAATATATTTTGTCTCTTGAAATTGGAAATCCTACATATTCTTCATTTGAAGTAACCTTATGCATAATAAACTAACACATACATCACAAATATATTTCATGAGTTGGTGCAGAAACTAGTAAATATATATAATATATATATTAAGGTTAAGGAAAATCTCCATATTATTTTGGTACATTCTCTTTGCATGGGGTAGATTTGAAGTAATATGGTCATTCAGTAAAGGGTATGGGAAATGCAAAAATAATTTTCTCAACAAAACATGAGATTGTACAGGTAATCATAATTCCACAAGACCAAAAGGGGGCAAATGAGAATATTTCACAAAAGAGCATGATAATTAAGAAAACATTGCTAAAAATTACATGCATAAAAGTTTAAAGTAATATAATTTTTCCAAAATTTTTTATGTTGATGCAGACAGCAGACTGACATTTTTCAGCTTCAAATGTGCTTTCAGCTGTATTTTTCAAAGGAACTTGTAGACAGTAAACTTTTGTGAGCAGGTACTTAAAAATCAATTGTGCTGCTGCTGAGAACTGAGCTTGCGGCCTTTAACTGAATGTACTGTGAAAGTGGTGATGAATTATAATCCTTCCCAGTTTAGTTTAACTGCCACTGTAGGAATTATTAAGTTTTCATTAAATCAAAAACAATGAAAAATTGACTGATGCTTACTTAAAGTCCAATTCAGACTTCCCTCTGTTAGCCAGATGGATTGACAACTACTTTTTAAAGATATACAAGAAGAATGCTCAAGGTCACTTGAGTAAGAATGTTGAAGAATGCTTAAATCACTTGAATAGTAGTTTTGTTTTGTCAAACATGCCGTATGAAATTAAGAATACTGAAATTTTGATGCACCTTCTTGACTCAAAGATTAAAGGATGGAGAATGTTACATCACCCAATAGTTCTACAGTGTAAAATATTAATGCAAAAGAAATAAAGCCAAACAATTTACACACAACATAGTTTTAGCTTACCTAATTGGCAAGTAACAGCATCAGAAGTCCTACAGCCAGTGGCAGGTAGTGTAATGGTGTAAATGTAGATGCTCCCATTGCTGGTACCTACCCATAATGTAGGAGTAGTAACAATATCTGTAAATAGGCAAGAATCAAGTTCTGTTTTAGAAAACTAATCCATATATTATCAGTGTAGTTTTATTACTTCTAATGTGCAATGATGCCAGCAGGAGAAACATTTTCAATGTCAATTATATTACACATTGCAATATCCAAATTTTCATACAGTAATTATAATTAACTAAATTTCCCCAAATGAAAATTGTTTTTTGCAGATAACTTGAAATAAACTCCTTCATTATCCAATATTATGTTTTCCCCGAATATAAAACTCGGTCTTACATTAATTTTTTTCTCATAAAGATGCATCAGGACTTATTTTTAGGGGATATATAATTTTTTCCATGCAAGATAATTAATATTTATCCATCTATAATAATTTGCATTTATTCATACATTCAAGAATCTACATTTATTCATGTACAAAAAATTTCACTTATTCAAATACTATAGCTATGTCATCTCTTTCTGAATTCAGTCATAAAGCACCAAACCTTGAATTCAAGCCTGAGTTTCCTGAGACAGAATTTTCTGTAAAACCATTAACCTTAACCTCAGTCTCTTATGTCTAGCAATAGAGCTCTACTTACATGAGTATTACTTGCCTCTGTAACCAGTTCATAATACACTGTCAATACAGCTGTTTATAATTTTATCCTTTACCAATGTCACAACCTCTTACAAGCTAGGCTTTATAAAATGTCCTCTTCCTATTTGCATAGAGCTGTCACTCTTCTTGAAGACAGTTCCTATCACTGCAGGAAGCTGCCTATCCAGTATTATAATGCTTTGAATTTTCTGAGGATATATTTAATTGAGTTGCCGCTGTAAGGGCAAATGCTTATAACAGCCAAAATTTAGCTCTTCTGAAAGCAATCCATTTACAGATGAAGTCTTCTAATCAAAGAAATACTGATTGTTATTCTCATCCAGTTTTGTGCTTCTTAGCATTTCCCTCGTCTATCCGTTACCTGAAATTATTGTATCCTGATCGCTATTTTTTGATTGTTCAGTTTTGCAGAAAGTTCGAAGTTTCTTGCCTTGGAACTCTTATACTATTCCTTTTGTGCACTCAATGAAATAGTTTTTTTCATTCATCTTGTTTAGAGATCCAATTATAATTTTTTAAAATCTCTTATTAAATTAAGTGTTAATTAAAAGCTTGCAAGATGGAAGTGGCTACAAAAGTATTGAGGATGATGGACTACACAACAGTCATGAAAACCTGCAGGCACATTTTCAGAATACCCATCTTTATCTCAAGCAAGTATATTGAGTATGCAATTGCAATACATGATGTATTAGATGAAGAAGAATATAAATAATTACAACTATGTTATCAAATACCCACATGTGGAGACGGCACTCTGGTTTATCATTTGGAAGTAAGTCTGACATGATCTTAACTGGAGCTTACATTATTAGCATCCTGAAAAATCATGTTTGAGCTCATTTTCCAATCAGGAAAACACAGCAGATGCAGCAATTCTCTGGTTCCTTACACATTAAATTCCAAACAATGTGCAGAGATGGCCTAAGGCACCACGACTAATTACAGAGAGATTACAAAATACTCTAATACAGTACAAAGTCCATAATCCGGACTCATCGGGACTTCGGCGATTCCAGATTAGGGATTTTTCCGGATTATAAATTATCAATTTAAATCTGGTAAGATGGCATGCAGAAATGATGGTGAACGGAAAAATGCCCACAGGAAAAAAGCCCACAGGTATAAAAGCTCACAGGAAAAAAGCTCACTTAGAAATATACTCACACGGAAAAAAGCTTACATGAATTATGTTCACATGGACAAATGCTCACATTAACCTTTTCAGGGGCGATAAATAAAAGCATGAAAACTGTAGTAAAATTTTGCTGTAATATAACTGTTGTAACTGTTATATTTTATACCACTGCCCCTGTACGACATTTTTTTCCTGTAACTGCTAATAATTAATTTTTGTTTCTTTACTCTATTTTTGCATACTTTTGATGCATATCTATAAAAATTGACGTTTGAAGGTAGTTATTCAAGTTTTGAGCCAAAAAAGTTGCAAAATTTCTGCAAAAATTTAAAATTCTAGAAATAAAATTAACATTTTTAGGCACTTTGATGATGCCTCTCAGTTGAACATTATGAAGCAGCCTTCGAAAAATCTCCTAAAACCACAAATTGTTGCGAAGGATTTAGCCTCTCATCGTTTGTTATTAGCTAATGTAAATACAGGATGTACTGAGGTAAAAAAACGAAAACATGAAAAACTTATATTTGGTAATCGTGAATCACATAAGAAACTATGATGAAACCAATGATAAAATTAAATATTTTAAGTAATTTAAATAAAATAATCATTCTAAATTCTCATTCATTATTCCTCTAAATGTTTATATTAAAACATGTGTGACTTATATTTATTATTTTTTTAACAATTAAAATTATAATAATTTTTTACTTTATAATTCTGTTTCATGTTTACTTCCTTTCTCCTCTCCTTTTAATTCAAAACGGTCCATTTGTTAATTTTATGTAGCAACTGAATCTACACATAAGTTATAAAGTTTTTGAAATATATACCATAGATGTTTTGGTAATTTAAACAATTTTTCTTAAGAAAATTCAAGTAGGTGTATGATGTTCAATGTGATTCATTACTATTGGAATATTTCTATGTGAATTATTTATCAGTGGGCGTATTTCTATGTCAGCATACTTCTGTGTAAGCTTTTTTCCATGTCAGCATATTTCTAAGTGAGCATTTTTCCATGTGAGCTTATTTTTGTGTGGGCTTTTTTTCTGGAGCATTTTTCTGTGAGCAATATTCCTGTGGGCTTTTTTCCTAGAACCAGAAATGATACAATTAAAAATATGAAATCGTAATTTATGAAATAAAGAACAATTATGATTTAAAGGGTATCAATATTTACAAAAAAAGCTTAATATTTATTTGTTTACTTTATTAAACATTTCTTTCAATGTAAGTTGTTTAAGATGTTTCCACAAAAAATTCAAAACGTTCCTTTTTCTTTTGTCATATATAGTGGACTTTCTAATGTCATACTTCTCGCATAATTTTGAGACGGATAGACCTTTATCCATTTTTTGCAGTAATTCCACTTTTTGTTTAATGGACATCGAAACACGCTTTTGCTTTGTAGATCCTTTGGCAGATCCAGAATTGGAAACTCTTTTTGACATAATCGAAAGTTCAAGCTTAATTTTTATAAAATTGTTCTAACAGTCTGCAAAAAATAATAAGTGCGATTCAATTAGAAGATTAAGGAACAGTGTAATCTGAAACATTAACTGAAGTGACTTAGATAATTTTAGCCAAGCTTATACCGTTCATTGTACATTAAACGTGCATGCGTAAACGCATATGCACATGTATTTACGCATGCGCATAAAGTTTGTAGCTTTGAGGTCCGGTTTATGGACGTCTGGATTACAGACTTTGTACTGTATTTTCATTTTTAATTCCATTCACAAAGCCATGTTTGTGTGAAGTTGCACTTTCAGCAGTTATTATAACACGTAAATATTGTGATATAGCAGCATGGAAATGAGAATGGCTGCATCTACACTGGTCATCAGAATTATCAGAATTAAATGATTAATGAGAAAAAATAGCAACCAATATCCAATGCCATAATTATTTATGTTAATTAAATACAAATGAATACAAAATTGCACTTCCACGCACAAGTTAAAACCAGAAACATGCAAATTCAGTGATCAACAATGTGGTGTGCAATGGACGCATGTTAGAATTCCAGTCTGCAGTGTTGTATAAATTGATACTGAGAATACTACTGAATACTGATACTGAGAGTCATCAGTATTCAGTAGTTATGGCTCAAAAACATAATTTAAGTGAAGGTCAAAAGTGGCAATTAATTGCTAGAATTGAGGGAGATCACTCACAGTTTGAATCTCTCTCAAAGTGTCATATCAAGAGTTTGGAGCCACTTTTTAAGCACTAGATCAGTTGATAGTCTGGTCAAGGGCAACTAAGAGCAACAACTGTATCAGAAGACTTTTGTGTCATAGTTGGTTCGAAGAAACTCAATACTCGAAGCCACTACAAGAGATTTGATTTTAGATCTTCAGGCTGCCAAAGGAACTCGAATTAGCCTTTCTGCTGCTGCACAAAGGCTTATTAAGTTGGTCTCTATGCCAAGAAAACCAATGGTTTCTGTTCCACTCCAGATTCCACAGAGACCTGTTTAAAGTGGTGCTGTTGTCATGTTTAATGGAGCCAAGATGACTGGGCCCAAGTATTGTTCACTGACGAGTTCAGATACAATCTGAACAGTGATTCCAGAAGTGTTTTGACATGGAGGGAGAAAGGAACATGCAACTTGCCTTCCTTTGTCCATAAAACATCCCATTTCCATGACTGTGGTTTAATGGTATAGGGAGGAATCACGCTAAATTGCTGCACCGAGCTGCATATCTTACAAGGAGGTTCTTTAACTGCTCGGAGATATGTGGAACCAGGTATTGAAACTCCAAGTTAGACTGCTTAGGGATGCTATTAGTTGGCCCAGAGTTTTGCCAGTAGATGACATTGTGTGGCCTCATCGAGCATATATAGTGTCAGAATATTTTTAAACAGAAGATATCACTTGAATGGACTGGCCACCTTACTCACCCGACTTGAGCGTGATTAAGCATGCGTGGGATGCCTTACGGCACCAAATCTCACTGTGACAAATTCCTTACCAGACTCCCCCAGGAGCTGAAAAGTTCACTTTTATAAGAGTGGCATGCAATTCCACATGACTTGATCAACACTTTGTTAAAGTCTATGAAATCAAGATATGAGGTATGCATATCTGTCTGAGACACTCCAACCTGCAGTGGCATTTAATACTGTATATTATGTCCTGGTCCATTGGCTGGATCAATGATGCAGTATTTGGGGGGGGTGAAGGGCCACAACAATGTCACTTATTAAAATGATTGTAGGAGCACCGAAAAGTAGCACCGCTATCCATCTTTTGCAAAATTT